TTTCCTCCAACACCACAGCTCAAAAGCATCGATCTTCCTTCGCTCAGCCTTCCCTAAGGTCCAGCTCTCACATCCGTAGGTTACTACAGGGGAATACCATTGCTTTGACTAGGAGGATCTTTGTTGCCAGTGTGATGTCTCTACTCTTCACTATTTTATCGAGATTGGACATTGCTCTCCTCCCAAGAAGTAAGCGTCTTCTGATTTCCTGGCCACAGTCTGCATCTGCAGTAATCTTTGCACCTAGAAATACAAAGTCTGTCACACGGCCTCCACAGTTTCTCCCTCTCTTTTCCAGTTGTCAATCATTCTTGTTGCCATAATCTTGGTTTTTTTGACGTTTAGCTGCAACCCGGCTTTTGCGCTTTCTTCTTTCACCTTGATTAGAAGGCTCCTCAGCTCCTCCTCGCTTTCGGCCATCAGAGTGGTGTCATCTGCATATCTGAGGTTGTTAATGTTTCTTCCAGCAATTTTCACCCCAGCTTTGCATTCATCAAGTCCCGCACATCGCATGATGTGTTCTGCATATAAGTTAAACAGGTTGGGTGAGAGTATGCAGCCTTGCCGTACGCCTTTCCCAATCCTGAACCAGTCTGTTGTTCCGTGGTCAGTTCTTACTGTTGCTACTTGGTCCTTGTACAGATTCCTCAGGAGAGAGACAAGGTGGCTTGGTATGCCCATCCCACCAAGAACTTGCCACAATTTATTATGATCCACACAGTCAAAGGCTTTAGAATAGTCAATGAAGCAGAAGTAGATGTTTTTCTGAAGCTCCCTGCCTTTCTCCATTATCCAGCGGATATTGGCAATCTGGTCTCTCGTTCCTCTGCCTTTTCTAAACCCAGCTTGAACATCTGGCAACTCTCGCTCCATGTATTGCTGGAGTCTTCCTTGCAGGATCTTGAGCAATTACCTTACTGGCATGAGAAATAAGGGCCACTGTACGGAAGTTGGAGCAGTTGGAATTTGTGCAGAGATTGAATCCCCAAACGGGACCCAAGATCCCTCTCTCCAGGAACATTCAATGCCCTGTAGTTGGAAGGGTGCATGAAGTGTAGATAGTAGGCTTGTTTGATCCAAAAATATTGGTTCAAAACTTGTTTTGGATGTAGGGGGTACCGGTGGTTCGATTCGGAAGTCAATTCCGACTTTCACAGAAAAAAATGTTCAAAACTTTTCAAAACTTCTGAGACATCTGAATCCTTCCTTAATGGTTTGAAAGTGTTATTTCCTGTTTCATTGGGTGGTCTTTACTTTGAAAGTAGTTGTTTTACTCCAGAAAGGGGGGGGGGGGAGAGAAAGCAAAGGCAGGAAATTCATCCACTCTGGTTTAAAACACTTCCCAGGCTCCATCCTAGAAGCGAGTGGAAAGAAAAAGCAGGAAATACATCCAGTTTGTTTTTAAACTCTGCCCAGGCTCCAGCCCAGAAGCGGGGAAAGGCTGGATCATTTCCGACTCACTTACTGCTTCGTAACAAAAATGGCGGAAAAAGCTTCAGAAGGGTAAAGGGACTTCTGGTTTCCTTAAAAACTTCGAAATCACTTCAAAAAGCAAATTTTTCCAAATTTAATCCGAATTACGAAGATTCCAACCGAACTTAACCATGCCTAGTAAATAGAAACTTCCAAGAAGGCAGCCCAAACTTAGGAGATGAATTCTGGTTTATTGTCCTGGATAGCATCAGAAAGAAAGGAAGTATGGAAAGAACCAAGTCCAGAAGCACAGCAGCAGCAGAACCCCTTTATTTGTCACCCCACTGAAGCTTGAAGGCCAGGAAAACGAGGGGCAATGTGGGTCTTTCATTAGGTTGAGGTGGAGCTGCCCAGTATCTGAATAATAGCAAAAGCCTGGATTGCATAGCCAGGTCTCCAGGAGATCAGAAGGAACAACGTTTCCTGGGGATGTGGGTGCAAAGGTGGGAAGGAGCCAGGAAGTGGGGTGAATAGAGAGAGAAGGAAGGAGGACTTCCATTTGGGGGGCACAAAGGGGCAGGCCAAAGATGTAAAGGATTCATTGGAGATTTTGGGAGAGAGATCCTTGCCTCTGTTGGTGTCCTTAACGGTGTGTCCAAGAATGGACTAGAGAAGGAGAATATGCACAGAGAAAGGAAACACACAAGTGAAAGCTCTGCGGTGAAGCACTGTTTCGACTGGGAAGGGGGTGCATAAAAATGCTATAATTCATGGCAAATAGAAGAAGACCCTCATAACCTCAGAAACCACATCCACTTTCACATAGCCACATCTGGAGGAAAATAATTTCTATACAGATTGGCCATGGTCCACCAGATGCATTTATGATACGCTACCCACCAATCTCTTAAGATCAGTGTTTCTCAACCTGAGGGTCAGGACCCCTGGGGGGTCGTGAGAGGGTGTCAAAGTGGTCACCAAAGACCATTAGAAAATACAGTATTGTCTATTAGTCATGGGGGTTCTGCGTGGGAAGTTTGACACTATTCTATCATTGGTTTGATTCATAATGCTCTTTGATTGTAGGTGAACTATAAATCCCAGCAACTACAACTCCCAAGTGTCAAGGTCTATTTTCCCCAAACTCCACTAGTGTTCACATTTTGGCATATGGAGGATTCGTGCCAAGTTTGTTCCAGATCCATCATTGTTTGAGTCCAGAATGCTCTCTGGATGTAGGTGAACTACAACTCCAAAACCCAAGGTCAATTCTCACCAAACCCTTCCAGTATTTTCTGTTGGTCATGGGAGTTCTGTGTGCTAAAAAATTTGGCCCAATTCCACCATTGGTAGGATTCAGAATGCTCTTTCATTGCAATTGAACTATAAATCCCAGCAACTACAACTCCCAAGTGTCAATGTCTATTTTCCCCAAACTCCACCAAGATCAATGCCCACCAAACCCTTCATAGAATCATAGAATCATAGAATCAAAGAGTTGGAAGAGACCTCATGGGCCATCCAGTCCAACCCCCTGCCAAGAAGCAGGAATATTGCATTCAAATCACCCCTGACAGATGGCCATCCAGCCTCTGTTTAAAAGCTTCCAAAGAAGGAGCCTCCACCACACTCCGGGGCAGAGAGTTCCACTGCTGAATGGCTCTCACAGTCAGAAAGTTCTTCCTCATGTTCAGATGGAATCTCCTTTCTTGAAGCCATTGTTCCATTGCGTCCTAGTCTCCAGGGAAGCAGAAAACAAGCTTGCTCCCTCCTCCCTGTGGCTTCCTCTCACATATTTATACATGGCTATCTCCTCTCAGCCTTCTCTTCTTCAGGCTAAACATGCCCAGCTCTTTAAGCCGCTCCTCATAGGGCTTGTTCTCCAGACCCTTGATCATTTTAGTCGCCCTCCTCTGGACACATTCCAGCTTGTCAATATCTCTCTTGAATTGTGGTGCCCAGAATTGGACACAATATGCCAGGTGTGGTCTAACCAAAGCAGAATAGAGGGGTAGCATTACTTCCCTAGATCTAGACACTAGGCTCCTTGATGCAGGCCAAAATCCCATTGGCTTTTTTTGCCGCCACATCACATTGTTGGCTCATGTTTAACTTGTTGTCCAGGAGGACTCCAAGATCTTTTTCACACGTACTGCTCTCGAGCCAGGCGTCCCCCATTCTGTATCTTTGCATTTCGTTTTTTCTGCCTAAGTGGAGTATCTTGCATTTGTCACTGTTGAACTTCATTTTGTTAGTTTTGGCCCATCTCTCTAATCTTTCAAGATCGTTTTGAATCCTGCTCCTGTCCTCTGGAGTATTGGCTATCCCTCCCAATTTGGTGTCTGCAAACTTGATGATCATGCCTTCTAACCCTTCATCTAAGTCATTAATAAAGATGTTGAACAGGACCAGGACCAGGACGGAACTATTCTGTTTGTCATTGGAGTTCTGTGTGCCAAGATTGGTTCAATTCCATCGTTGGTGGAGTTCAGAATGCTCTTTGATTGTAGGTGAACTATGAATCCCAGCCACTACAACTCCCAAATGACAAAATCAATCAAACTTAGGCGTATCGGGTATTTGTGCCAAATTTGGTTCCGTGGATGAAAATCCATCCTGCATATCAGATATTTACATGACGACTCACAACAGTAGCAAAAGTAGAGTTATGAAGTAACAACGAAAATAATTTTATGGTTGGGGGTCAGCACAACAGGAGGAACTGGATTAAAGGGTCACAGCATTAGGAAGATGGAGAAGCACTGGTCTAGGTCCTCCAATGCAACTCTGGTATATTGGGACCACATAATAATATCATTCAGTTATAGCTGTGATTCCTGGTAGTAATTGTCTGTCCAGGAACATTTCCCCAGTGGATATGGGGATGTGCCTACTGTCTAGTTCAGACATGGGCAAACTTGGGCCCTCCAGGTGTTTTGAATTCCTGGCCTCAGGCCTTTTCCTTTTCCCCTTCAGCCACTGAAGTGAAAGAGCCTGAGGCCAGGAATTGTGGGAATTGAAGTCCAAAACACCTGGCGGGAGAGCCCAAGTTTGCCCACACCTAGTCTAGTTGGACTGGGACCCTTGCTCACACCACAAAATTTGCAAGGAATGAAATCTGATTGCAACTTTAGAAGTTAATATATGGGAGGAAAGAGAAGTTAATCGAGTGACTCTTGCAACTTGGACTCTGTTTGCTGCAACTGAAGTGAAACGAGGAGAAAAGGGGCAGGAGAAGGACGAAGCATTGCAAAAGCAGCTGGAAAAATGGGATGGAAGAGAATCAAGGGTCCAATTAAGACATGCAAAGGTTTGCTGGCCAAAAGCTCTTCTGCAATTCCAAATGTATAGATGGGGGCCTAAATGGGGGAGGACAGGTGCATTCAGACGTGTGGGTGATATATCTCGCCTGACAGGTGAGGAAGAGGTTCAGCCAAGCAGCCCTTCCTCACCTGGATGTTTTGGACCTAAATGGGAGTACTGCACCCTCTTTTCACAACCCAAAGGTGTCCTCTCCCTTCACAAAAAGTGCATAGTCAAATGGCAAGCGCCTTGGAGTCTTATCTATCGGTTTTCATCACCAGAAAGAGGGCAAATGCATGGCAATCTTCTTCCAGAAAGGGCAGAGAGGATGTCTTGAGGACCAGCCTATTTGGAGAGGAGGCGAATGAGGAAGGCCCGAGCAAAATGCTCTTGCACTCTTGCTCCCAACTCATTCCTGGCGATGCAAAAGCAGGGTTTCCTTTGAGGAAGAGCTCAGCTGTTGTGTTGCGCGGAGGAAGAGGAGTCCACACGTCGGGAGGCTGGGCCCAGCTCCACTTTGCAGACGCGTTGGGCGAACTTGAGGGAGCAGACGGACTCACCGACGTTCTTCTCCAAGGGAGAGATCTGAGGAAGAGGAAGAGGAACGTCACCAAGGAATCCTTTCCAGCCTGGATGCAATGCACTGTTGCACTCCAGGACAGGAAAAGCCCTCTGACTGTAAACACCACAATCGTTGATTGGAAAACGATCCTTTTATTGAAGATAATTAAGAAGCAGCAAGTAAAAAAGCACTTTAAAGAAATAGGTAAATCCAATTAGGTAAGAAGATAAGCAGGAGCAAAAATAGTGCAGGGTAAAGTTCAGCAAAGTCCATAAAAACAAAGTCCACACTTCTCTAATATAATTCAGGAAAACAGGAAACATTGATGCAAGGCATGAGTAGGCATTCATACAATCCAAGAATCCAAACCATGAAATGAGAAATACTTAGACAAGAATCTTCTAAGCAAAGCTTCCATAAAACAAAGGATGAGAACTACACTTGATTGCAACGATGCTTTATCTGACTATATTTCCCGTACTTGGAACTTTTATCCCCTCGTTAAGCTATTCCCGCACTCAGGAATTGGTTTCGTTTTACTTGAGATCCCCTTATCTTTTTCTGTCAGAGCCTGGCAGAACGCCAAAGGCACTGTTCGGCCTGTCTGTTTTGACTAATTTCGTCTCGCCTATCTATCTGCTCATTAAGTCTTGTAGCTGGGCCAGGTACCCAGTTGTTTTCAAGCCCCAAATCCTGGGAACCCTCTGGTAGCAATTCAGGGAGTACACTATCATCCTCACACCCTTCAGGGACATTCTCATGGGAAACTACACTTTGCACAGGGGTCTCCCTGTCCTTCTCTGCATCAGTATCATTGACCAAACCATTGCCATCTTCAAATTCATTGGCATCACTTCCCATATCCGAAGCACCCTGATTCTGAAACACAATCACAGGCTGAACTCCAACATGTTCTCTGAGGAGGTTCTCTGAGGAGGAGGAGTTGACATTCAGAACCCTGAATGCAATTGTTGAATGTCTTCGTGTGCAAAGATAAGGAAAGTTACTATATATTAAACAATGCGAAGAAATAGAAGTTGACAAAGAACAAGGGGTCTCTTCCACAAGATCCCAGAAATCAAGGGAGAACTTCAAGAGCAGAAGCCTAGAGTTGGAAGAGACTGCATGGGCCATCTAGTCCAACAACCTGCCATGCAGGAAAAGCACAATCAAAGCACCCCTGACAGATCACAGAATCTGGGTGGCTGTCAGTCGGTCGGAGTTAAATTGTTCTTCCTTCCTAACAGAAAGGAACTAGATGGCCTTTGTGTGCCCCTATCCAACTCTAGGACTCTATGAAGCCCTGCATGAACACTGGTGATGCTTCCCTCACCTGCACCATCATGATGGTCTTGCTGCCCTTCCCCAGGGAGTCCTGCAGCAGGTAGGTGAGCTTGGAGTTGCGGAAGGGGACGTGGGCCTGCTTGGCGCGAAGGGCCTGGATGACCTCTCCCAAGGCCAGCAGGGACCGGTTGATGTTCTGGGCCTCCTTCAGACGCTCGCCTTGCGCCCCGGACTTCCAGACCCGCTCTGAACCGGCCAGGTCCACCAGGTTCAGCTTTCCTGTGGAGGGAGAGAAACGGGAGGATCACCAAGGGATGAAGCCATAGAATCACAGAGCTTGAAAGGACCTCCAGGGGTCACTGATGTTGCTGGATGGATGAGGACATTTTTGTGTTCAGAACCTATCTGCTTCCGTGTCCCTATTTCATCCTTCCACACATTCAGGTAAATTCCAGGGGCCGATAAGAGTCAAAACAACCAGATTGGCTCTGCAACCATCCCTTTGTGTTGGAGTTCAGCCTGTGATTGTGTCTAATGATCAGGGTACTCTGGATGATGGGAGTGGCAATGAGGTTCATGTGTCTAATGATGAGGTTGCTCTAGATCAGTGGTTTTCAACCTTCCTAATGCTGTGACCCCTTAATACAGTTCCTTATGTTGTGGTGACCCCCAACCATAAAATTATTTCCATTACTACTTCACAATTGTACTTTTGCTACTGTTATGCAGGATATATTTTCATTCACTGGACCAAATTTGGCACAAAGACCTGATACGCCCACATTCAAATACTGGTGGGATTGAGGGGGATTGAGGGTTCCATCACTTGGGAGTTGTAGTTGCTGGAATGTATAGTTCATCTGCAATCAAAGAGCATTCCAAACTCCACCAATGACAGAATTGAACCAAACGTGGCACACAGAACTCCCATGACCGACAGAAAATACTGGAAATGTTTGGTGGGCATTGACCTTGAGTTTTGGAGTTGTAGTTCACCTACGTCCCGAGAACACTGTGGACTCAAAACAATGATGGATCTGGACCAAACTTGGCATGAAAATCAATATGTCCAAATGGGAACATTGGTGGAGTGTAGGGAAAGTACACTTGGCATTTGGGAGTTGTAGTTGCTGGGATTTGGGAGTTGTAGTTGCTGGGGAAAGTGGAAGGTAAAAGGAAGAGGGCAAGATGGATGGATGGCATCCTTGAAGTGACTGGACTGACCTTGAAGGAGCTGGGGGTGGTGACGGCCGACAGGGAGCTCTGGCGTGGGCTGGTCCATGAGGTCACGAAGAGTCGGAGACGACTGAACGAATGAACAACAACAACAAGTTGCTGGGATTTATCGTTCACCTACAATCAAAGAACATTCTGAACCCCACCAAGGTTAGAATTGGGCCAAACTTCCCACACAGAACCCACATGACCAACAGAAAATACTGTGCTTTCTGATGGTCTTTGGCAACCCCTCTGACACTCCCTCATGACCCCTCCAGGGGTCTCAACCCCCAGGTTGAGAAACACTGCTCTAGATGCAAAGAGGGGCAATGTGGTTCATGTTCAAAGTGAGTCTTCTTTTGGGAATGTGTCTGAAGGGTTTGGAGATGATGGTCTCTTTCCTAGGCCTGGATTACTACCAGAGGATTCCTTGAGCCTGAGAAAGGCTCAGCGCCTGGTCCAGTTGCAGAAATTAATGAGCCAGTGAACAGGAAAAGTGTTTTCAATCAGCAAACAAAAACAAACCAGTCTCTCAGGCGTTCTGCCAGATTGCAGCAGAGACTGATAGCAGATTCAAGGCCTAGAAGAAATCCGTTCTTTGCCACTTGGGATATACAGTAGAATAAAGGGATAAAAGTGCCAAGTACAGAATTTGTAGCCAGACGAAGCAATGTTGGAATTAGGTCAAGATCTCATTTCAAGTTCCTGGATGCCTTGCTTTGGATAGATTCCTGAATTAAGAGCCTTGTTATTTCATGGTGAAGTGCTTTGTTTGATTTATGCTCAAGTACTTTGGGGTTTGTGCCCTGGAAGTTCCAGTATTTGTTTTCATGGACTCTTTTCCTGGATTATCTGTTCCTATCTACCTTTTCTACCTATTTGGATTTACCTTTATACTATGGATTGCTTTTTACTGCTACTGCTTTTAATTATCTTCAATAAACTGCTTGCATTTTACTCAACTGTGTGGTGTTTGAAGTCAGAGGGTTTTCTTGGCCTGGAGTGCAACACTTTGATGCGCAGAGTGTCTGAAATTTATCTTTACCATTTCAATTGAAATGGTAAATATATTTTTGGGTGCCATATATATCTGTCCACAGCACAACCATCATCACAACTGATGATACAGTCACGGACTACCGCATCTTCCTCAGCCCTGGTTGGCACTTGGATGGGAGACCACCAAGCTCTCTATTTCAGAGGAAAGAACTGGGCAAAGCTGGCTCTGAATATTTCTGACTAAAGAAAACCCTCTGAAATTCATAGGGTCTTGTAGACACTTATGCATACATTGATCTTGGAAGCTAAACAGGGTTAGCTTTGGTTGCCACTTTGGATGGGGAACCACAAAGGAATCCCAGAGTAAGATTTCAGGGGAAGGAATTGGCTAAACCCTACTTCTGAGTATTCCTGGCCTAAGAAAACCCTCAACTATGGTAGCCTTGCCATAAGTCAACAGGCAACTTGAAGACACACTTAAATCTGCTGAAGCTAAGCAGGGTCAGCTCTGGTTTGTACTTGGATGAGAGATCACCAAGTTCTCTATTTCAGAGGAAAGATCAGAACAATGCTGGCTGTGAATATTCATGCCTTAAGAAAACCTTCTAAAATCCAGAGTCCCCATATGTAAACAGTCAACTCATAGGCACATTCATATACATTGATCTCGGAAGCTACTAAATAGGATCAGCTTTGGTTGGCACTTTGGATGGGAAACCATAAAGGAATCCCAGAGGGCGATGGTAATATCTCAGCGGAAGGAATTGGCCAAGCCTAACTTCTGAGTGTTCCTGGCCTAAGAAAACCCTTGAACACTGTAGGGTCACCATAAGTCAACAGTGAACTTGATTACACTGAGGCTAAGCAGGGTCAGCTGTAATTAGCACTTGGATGAGAGGCCACAAATGAATCCCAGGAACTCTATTCCAGAGGAAAGAACTGGCAAAATCCTACTTCTGAGGTTTCTTGGCCAAAGAAAACCCAATGAAATGATTGGGTTGCCATAAGTCAACATACAACTTCAAGACACATACAAATAACTGATCTTGGAAGCTAAGCAGGGTCGGTCCTGGTTGGCATTTGGATGGGAGACCACCAAAGAACACTAGGCACAGCAGACATTATTTCAGAGGAAGGAACTGGCCAAACCACCTCTGAGTAGTCCTTCCATAAGGAAATCCTACAAAATCCAATGTATACCTGTGAGCTTGGTGCCGCTGGCCACCTCAGTGCCCACGATGGTGACGGTGAGCAGGGCGTGCGAACGAGAGCTGCGCTCGTTCATGTGGGTGCAAGAGGTGGCCCGGTTGCGCTTGCCCAGCGAAAGGATCTGCAAAAACAGAAAAGAAGAGAAAGGGCTTCATTGTAGGCCCAGGAAGTTTGGCAGCTGGGGGAATCCATTTTAGTTACTCATTTCCTGAAGGGGACATGTTTAGAAAGAGCAACTTTGGAGGGAAATGAGGGAGGACTGTAATTGGCTGAGTGAGAGTTGGCGGAGAACTGGAAGTGAGGTTCCGCCCAGTTCTCTTAAATAAACATCATTGTTTTGTTATTCACAACATCTGCCTCAAGTGTGCCTCTGTGGGTGAAGTTTTAAGAGCAGGTTCCTGCAGCAAACAGGAGACTAATGGTGGCAGAGTATATTTTAGTGTTACCTCAGAAACACAAGCCTGAGGGGCCGGCTAAATCCAACCCACTCTTGCCTAAGAATACTTCCAGTAAACCAAGGGCTTATCAGTGCTTCTAAGTTGGTGGTAGTGAGAGAGTTCTTTCAAAAGGTTATTCGGCCAGGAGAAAGTTCTAGCTTTCTCTACGGCTTTTTGTTTTGGGCTTTTACACACAGAAGCCACATTCAATCTAAGTAGTGTTCTGGTTTGTTGTAGGTTTTTTCGGGCTATATGGCCATGATCTAGAGGCACTTTCTCCTGACGTTTCACCCACATCTATGGCAAGCATCCTCAGAGGTAGTGAGGTCAGTTGGAACTAGGAAAGTGGGTTTATATATCTGTGGAATGACCAGGGTGTTCTGCTTTTGGAGATTTCATTTTCAAATAAATCCTCCATCTTTTATATGTGTCATCACAGAACAAGGGACCTCAAAGGTCATCTAGTCCCACCCCTTGCAATGGAGGAACACACAACCTTTGGATCCCAAAAGTCCTGATTCAATATAAGCCAGCTCCATATGTCCCTAAATTCGTGTCCAGGCTTTAGGAACATCTTCAAGGTGAGAGATGTCTGGTCCGATTACCTTCTTGATCTCCCGGAGGCTCTTCACTTCCAGGCTGGTCAGTCCCGGAACATGCACCTGGCCGCTCCCGTCCGGGTTCAGTTTGACGTCCAGTTTCTCTGGAGAATCCTTGGTCAGGAGGTCCCTGGAGAGAAGGAGGGGGAAAACAGATCCCAATAAACCGCCTTGAGTCAACTGTGGGCTGAGAAAGACAGTATACAAATACAGTAAACAAACAAACAAACAAATAAATAAAACATTCCTGCTTGGGAAAAAAAGCTTCCAGGAGGAGAGACAGAGCCGGTATGCTCTTCCGGTTTGAGTGCTGGGTTGGCAGCCACCTCTCCACAGAAATCAACGTTGACACATTGAAATACAACATCACCTGAACTCTGCAAGTGCAGCATTTTTCCGAATGAAGCTGAGAGCTATTGCCCTCCCAACCCTGCTATATGCCTGCGAAACGTGGACTGTCTACAGACGTCACACTCAAATTCCTGGAACGATTCCATCAGCACTGCTTCCAAAAAATTCTGTGTGTGTGTGTGTGTGTGTGTTCTAGTGCATTTCAGGTAATGGACATTCAATCTGTACTATAGGGATGAACCTGGGCAGTGCAGGTGGGTGTCGGGTTGCCATAGTGTCCCCAGCACTCTGCTTTCCAAGAAGTTCTCCGACCCTTCTTTCCTTCCTTCATCCTTCCTTTTTACTTTCCCTCCCTCCTTCCTTCTTTCCTCCCTTCCATCCCTCATTTCTTTCTTTCTTTCTTTCTTTCTTTCTTTCTTTCTTTCTTTCTTTCTTCGTCCCTCTCTTTCCTTCCTTCCCTCCTTCCTCTCTCCTTCTTTCCTTCCTTCCCTATTTCCTTCCTTTCCTGTTTCCTACCTCCTTCTTTCCTTCTCTCCCTCCTTCTTTCCGTGCTTCCTCCTTCTTTCCTTCCTTCCCTACTTCCTTCCCTGCTTCCTCCCTCCTTCTTTCCTTCCTTCCCTCCTTTCTTCCTTCCTTGTTTCCTCCCTCCTTCTTTCCTTCCCTGCTTCCTCCCTCCTTCTTTCCTTCCTTCCTTCCCTAATCCCCCTCCTTCCTCCCTTCGTTATTATTATTTATTTTTATTATTTACTTCATTTGTATACCGCCATTCTCAGCCCTAAGGCGACTCATAGCGGTTTACAACAAGCAAAAACAAGGCGAACAATCAAGGCAAAAATTCAATGCGGCATCAACAAGGTACTTAAAAACAGTTAACACAGAAACAAATTAAGCAATTTAACAGTAATAAACATTCAGTGGCGTCTCATAACTAGAATCATGATCCAAACTCGTCAGTCGTAGTTCCATTTCCTGAAATTCATTGCACTGCTTATTCAAACGCCTGTTCAAATAACCAGGTTTTCACTTTCCTCCGGAATACCATCAATGAGGGAGCCAATCTGATGTCCGTGGGAAGGGCGTTCCACAGCCGAGGGGTCACCACCCAGAAGGCCCTGTCTCTCGTCCCCGCCAGCCGCGCCTGTGTTGCAGGCGGGATCGAGAGCAGGGCCTCCCCGGAAGATCTCAAAGTCCTAGTGGGTTCATAGGTGGAGATGCGATCGGATAGGTAACTTGGGTCAGAACCATTTAGGGCTTTATAGGCCAAAGCCAGCACTTTGAATTGGGCCCGGTAGCAAACTGGCAGCCAGTGGAGCTGGCGCAACAGAGGGGTTGTATGCTCCCTGTGTGCCGCCCCTGTTAGTATCATGGCTGCCACATGCTGGACCAATTGAAGCTTCTGAGCCGTCTTCAATGGCAACCCCACGTAGAGAGTGTTGCAGTAGTCTAAACGGGATGTAACAAAAGCGTGGACTACAGTGGCCAAGTCAGACTTCCCAAGGTACGGGCGCAGCTGGCGCACAAGCTTTAGCTGTGCAAATGCTCCCCTGGTCACCGCTGAAACCTGGGGTTCCAGGCTCAGTGGTGAATCGAGGGTCACACCCAAGCTGCGAACCTGCGTCTTCAGGGGGAGTGGAACCCCGTCCAGCACAGGTTGCAACCCTATGCCCTGTTTGGCCTTGCGACTGACCAGGAGTACCTCTGTCTTGTCTGGATTCAGTTTCGTTCCTTCCTTCCATCTCTGCTTCCTCCCTCTATCCCTTCCTTTCTTCTTTCCCTCCCTCTTTTCTTTTTCCTTCCTTCCTTCTTTCCTATTTCTTCCCTTCTTTATTCCATGCTTCCTCTCCCCTACCCTTCTTTCCCTCCCCCCATCTTTCCTCCTTTCCTTCCTTCCCTATTTGTCTCCCCTGGGGAGAGAGAGAGAGAGAGGCCCTCGGGCTGGCTCACCTGATCCCTTCGTTGTAGATCTCCACCATGCAGAGGCTGACGCTGTACTTCCAGGCCTCTCCCTTGGCTTCCATCTCCCGGTAGAGAGCCTGCAAGGCGCGCTGGTTGATCCCGGGGTTCTCTGGGACACCCTGCAAGAAGAAGGAAGAGGGGGAAATGCAAAAGCTCCAGGACCCAAAAGATCACAACCCCCCTTTTATGACCATGGATCAATGATGTGGGATCCTGCGAGTTGCCATTTCACAAATACTTTGAGCATTTCTTCTAAATAGCATTGATGCCAACACCCAGGATTCCGTATCACTGCCACAACCTTTAAAAAGTAGTGTCAAACTGCATTAATTCTGCAGTGTAGATGCAGCCCGGGATGCAATGCACTTCGTTACATAATGTGGCACATAGGCATCTCTTTTTTGTTTTCCATGTTTCAAGGCCATCTTTCACGAAACAGTATCATCTCAGAGGTTTTGCGGGTCTGGTTTGCAGAATAATTCAGAATCACAATCATAATGACAATACCTCCATGGTGTAGGTCTTTCCCGAGCCAGTCTGGCCATAGGCGAAGATGCAAACGTTGTAGCCATTGAGGCAGGACATGATCAAGGGCTCAATCTCCAGGAAGACCTGCATTTGGGGCAGAGGGAAGAGTCAAAGGCAGAAGGCAATGCCCCTCCCCAAAAACCCCTCCGTGGTTGCAACGAGGCAGGGGCAAATGCAAAGAAGGGTGCAATGTGATCTGAAAGAGACACAAAGATCAATAAATACGACCACAGTGACAATCACAATCAGTGAATACTAGCATGGTGTGAATCAATCAATACGCACTATCATGGGGCCAATCAATTAATAAACACAGTGATGGTGCCAATCCATCACTAAACACTAGCACAGTGGCAATCAATCAATAAAGGTGGCAAGGTGTCAATCAATCAATAACACTAACATGGCAATCAATCAATCAATGCTAGTATGATGCCAATGCTAGCAATCAGTGCTAATAAGGTGCCAATCAATAAATAAATATTAGCCTGGGGTTAGTCAATCAATCAATAACACTAGGATGGTGGCAATCAATCAATAAACACTAGTATGGTGTCAATTAACTAATAAATCTTCTCCTGGGATCATTCAATCAATAAACACTATCATGGTTTCAATCAATAAGCACTAACATGGGGTCAATCAATAAATAAAGTTTAGCATTGTGGCAATCAATCAATCAATCAATGCTAGCACAATGCCAATAAATCAACAAACATTAGCAAAGTGTCAATCAATGCCTAAAAGCTAGCACGGCATCAGTCAATCAATAAATATGAGCCTGAGGTCAATCAATCAATCAGTAACACTAGGGTGGTTTCAATTAATGAATAAAAGCTTGCATAGTATCAGTCAATCAATAAATGCTAACACAGTGCCAATTAAATACTAAACACTTGCATTGGAGTCAATCAATCAATCAATATATCAATCAAATGCTAGTATGGTGTCAATTAACTGATAAATCTTAGCCTGGGATCATTCAATAAATCAATAAACACTAGCATGGTTTTAATCAATCAACAAATGCTAACCTGGTTTCGATCAATAAATAAATGTTAGCAAGGTGTCAATCAATCAATAAACACCAGCATGGGGCCAATCAAGCAATAAATGCTAACAAGGTGTCAACCAATAAATGCTACTGTGGAACAATCAATCAATGCTAACATGGAGTCAATCAATCAATAAATGTTTATCAATCAATAAACAAACAAACGCTAGCATGGGCTCAATCAATCAATACACAAAACATAATATCCAATGATTCTGAAACACTAGCATGGGATCAATCAATTAATAAACACTAGCGTGGAATCAATCAATCAGTAAATACTAGCATGGTACTTATCAATCAATAGTTGTTACTATGGTGTCAATCAATCAATAAAGACTAGTATGGCATCAGCATAGGGTCAATAAATTTATTACATTTATAACAATACATTTCTAACATTTATTGATTGATTGAAACCAGGCTAGCACTTGTTGATTGATTAAAGCCATGATAGTGTTTATTGATTTATTGAATGATCCCAGGCTAAGATTTATCAGTTGATTGACACCATACTAGCATTTGATTGATTGATTGATTGATTGACTGACTGACTGACTCCCGTGCTAGTGTTTATTGATTCACTGGCACTGTGATAGCATTTATTGATTGACTGAGGTTGCTAGCTTTTATTCATTAATTGAAACCATCCTAGTGTTATTGATCGATTGACTGACCTTAGGCTAACATTTATTGATTGACTGACGCTGTGCTAGCTTTTAGGCATTGACTGACACTTCGCTAATGTTTATTGGTTTATTGGCATTGTGCTAGCATTGGTGCTAGCATGGGATCAATCAACTAATAAAGGTGAGTGTGCTTTGAGCATCTGGAGACCAGGGTGCGAATTCCTGTTGAGCCGCTCCTGGTTTCAGTCCGAACTTGAACAAATTATCCAAAGGGCTGAACCTTTTTGTTTCTTTTGAAGTGAGGTTTCAGCATGTAGCATGCACTCTCAAAAGGTTTATTTTGCAAGGACTGCAGTGAGGCAGGTGGAAAAAGGTGAACCTTTGGTGCAATGCAGGTGTTTGCAAACCAGTGAGGGGAGGGAGGCAGGTTCCCAATAAGTGTGTTGTTACCTGCGGACACAGCCATTCCGGTCATCTTTGTGGGGTCCCCTTCCCTGCAGCCACCTAGTAAATCATAAGGGGTCACAAAGCAGCCGGGTTCTGGGTTTGCGTTCTACTCCAACCAATGTCCAGGTGGAGGGTCACCTCCTGGCCCTTTGGCGCACAGGAGTATGCAGCCCAAAAGCATGGAAAGCCCTGTGTTGTGCAAAATCTCACAATGGCATCCAGGTGACCCTACACGCTTCCTCATCGACTGCATTTGTTGACCGCCGTTCTCAGCCCTAGGGCGACTCACGGCGGTGTACAACATATAAAAACACAGTTTACAATAAAGCAATAGCACAACGAAATATCAACATAACTATCAATAATACAACAATCATATAATTACACTAAATCATCCGCGCCGTCTCATCGTAGAATCATAAACCAATCTCGTAATCCATATTCCGTTCCAGTCGTCATTGTCAATTGTTGTAGCACTTAATTAAACGCCTTCTCAAATAACCATGTCTTTAGGCTCTTGCGGAATGACATAAGGGAGGGCGCCTGTCTGATGTCTACAGGGAGGGTGCTCCACAGCCGGGGGGCCACCACCGAGAAGGCCCTATCTCTCGTCCCCGCCAGACGTGCCTGTGAGGCAGGCGGGATCGAGAGAAGGGCCTCCCCAGATGATCTCAAGGCCCTCGTGGGCTCATAGGCCGAGATGCGGTCAGAAAGGTATTTTGGGCCGGAACCGTTTAGGGCTTTGTAGGCCAACACCAGCACCTTAAATTGGGCCCGGTAGCAGATCGGCAGCCAGTGGAGCTGGAACAACAGGGGCGTTGTGTGCTCCCTGCGTCCTGCTCCTGTTAGTAACATGGCTGCCGCGCGCTGGACTAGCTGAAGCTTCCGGGCCGTCTTCAAGGGCAGCCCCACGTAGAGAGCGTTGCAGTAGTCAAGGCGGGATGTGACCAGAGCGTGTACCACCGTGGCCAAGTCAGACTTCCCAAGGTACGGGCGCAGCTGGCGCACGAGCCTAAGCTGTGCAAATGCTCCCCTGGTCACCGCTGAAACCTGGGGATCCAGGCTCAAGATGAATCCAGGGTCACACCCAAGCTGCGAACCTGCGCCTTCAAGGGGAGTGCGACCCCGTCCAGCACAGGCTGTAACCCTATACCCTGTTCGGCCTTGCGACTGACCAGGAGTACCTCTGTCTTGTCTGGATTCAATTTCAATTTGTTCGCCCTCATCCAGACCGTTACAGCGGCCAGGCACCGGTTCAGGACCTCGACAGCCTCCTTAGTAGCAGGTGGAAAGGAGTGACAGAGTTGGACATCATCTGCGTACAGATGACACCGCACCCCGAAACTCCGGATGATCTCACCCAGCGGCTTCATGTAGATGTTAAACAGCATGGGGGACAGTATAGAGCCCTGAGGAACCCCACAGGTCAAAGGCTGTGGTGTTGAACAGGTGTCCCCCAATAACACCTTCTGGTGCGGCCCTCCAGAAATGACCGGAGCCACTGCAAAGCAGTGCCCCCAAAGCCCATTTCCGCAAGGCGCCCCAGAAGGATACCGTGGTCGACGGTATCGAAGGCCGCTGAGAGGTCCAGGAGCACCAACAGGGACACACTCCCCCTGTCTAGCTCCCGGCGCAGATCATCCACTAAGGCGACCAAGACCGTCTCAGTTCCATGTCCCGGAGAATATGGACAAGCTGCATGGCATCCAGAATGATCAAAGCTTTGGAAAGTCTTAATTTCTCAATGGAGTGACTTTTAGGGAGCTGGGTATGTTTAGTTTTGGGTGGGACATGGGATCTGTGTGATCATAGCAGAATGGGGCTGGACTGGATGACCTTTGGGGGTCTCTTCCAGCTTCTATCTTTCTAAGCAGAGTCTGGATGGCCATCTACCAGAAGGGCTTTTGGTTGTGTTTTCCTTCATGGAAGAATTAGGCTGGACTGGATGACCTTTGAGGTCTTTTGCAGTGTCTATGTTTCTAAACAGAGTCTGGATGGCTGTCTGTTGGAAGGGATTTGGTTGTGTCTGCGTGAAAGAATGAGGCTCGGCTGCATGACCTTTGGGGGTCTCTTTCAGCTATATGGTTCTAAGCAGTCTGGATGGCCATCTGTTGGAAGGGATTTGGGTGTGTCTTTGTGGAAGAATGAGGCTGGACTGGATGACCTTTGAAGGTCTCTTCCAGCTACATATTTCTAAGCAGAGTCTGGATGGCCATCTGTCAGGAGGGATTTGGTTGTGTCTTCTGTGGAAAAATGAGGTTGGACTGGATGACCTTTGGGGGTCTCTTGCAGCTATATGTTTCTAAGCAGAGCCTGGATAGCCATCTGTCAGGAGGGATTTGGTTGTGTCCTTGTGAAAAAATAAGGCTGGACTGGATGAACTTTGGGTGTCTCTTGAAGTGTCTACGTTTCTAAGCAGAGTCTGGAAGGCCGTCTGTTGGAAGGGATTTGGTTGTGTCTTTGTGGAAGAATGACGCTGGATGGGATGACCTTTGAGGGTCTCTTCCAGCTCTATGTTTCTAAGCAGAGTCTGGGTGGCCATCTGTGGGGAGGGATTTGGTTGTGTCTTTGTGGAAGAATGAGGCTGGACTGGATAACCTTTGAGGGTCTCTTCCAGCTCTATGTTTCTAAGCAGAGTCTGGCCATCTATTAAAGGGATTTGGTTGTGTGTTTGTGGCAGAATGAGATTGGACTGGATGACCTTTGGGAGTCTACTCCAGTTTCTATCTTTCTAAGCAGAGTCTGCATGGCCATCTGTCAGAAGGGCTTTTGGTTGTCTCTTTGTGGCAGAATGAGGCCAGACTAGATGACCTTTGGAGGTCTCTTCCAGTTCTATCTTTCTGGATGGACATCTGTTTGGGCGTATCTTCCTTCATGGCAGAATGAGGCTGGACCTGATGGCCCTGGAGGTCTGTAGGCTTCTATGATTCTATGCTGGATGTGCCAAAAACTAGAGAAGGGAATGAGCTTCTTCTCACCTCCTCCTGGGTTGCCTGTGGCAAGAAGACCTTGTCCAGCCGGAAGCTGTGCTCCTTGCCCTTGTAGTAGGCCGTCACGCAGGACTCGTCCAGGGGGTCAGCCTCCACTTTGGCCCCTCCTTCGCCCTCCTGCTCCTCGCCTTTGGTCAGCGGCTTCAGGCGGCACAAAACGCGGATGTTTCCTGCAAAGGGCAGGGAAGAATTAAGTGGCATCCAGACAATATTAATAATGGGTTGTTGTAGGTTTTTCCGGGCTATATGGCCATGTTCTGGAGGCAATTTTTCTCCTGACGTTTCGCCTGCATCTATGGCAAGCATCCTCAGAGGTAATGAGGATAATATATTAATAATATATTAATAATGCTTTCACTGCCCTAGCTCAATGCGATGGAAGTGCAATACGTCACACGATTTGTGTCCATGGGTTATCAAGGCCATTTCCTAATTGCATGGTGGACATTTATTAAATTGCATGAACTTTGCTTTTGCAGGAAGGGGGGACTTCCTGCTCTAGCACATCTATATAAATTTAAAAAAGCCAATGGGATTTTGGCCTGCATCAATAGGAGCATAGTGTCTAGATCTAGGGAAGTCATGCTCCCCATGCTCTATTCTGCTCTGGTTAGACCACACCTGGAATATTGTGTCCAATTCTAGGCACCACAATTCAAGAGAGATATTGACTCTAAGCTGGAATGTGTCCAGAGGAGAGCAACTAAAATGATAAAAGATCTGGAGAACAAGCCCTATGAGGAGCGGCTTAAGGAGCTGGGCATGTTTAGCCTGAAGAAGAGGAGAAGGCTGAGGGGAGATATGATAGCCATGTATAAATATGTATACATGTATACATATGTATACCTCTCACATATGTATAAATATGTGAGAGGAAGCCACAGGGAGGAGGAGGGAGCAAGCTTGTTTTCTGCTTCCCTGGAGACTAGAACGCGGAACAATGGCTTCAAACAACAAGAGAGGAGATTCCATCTGAACATTAGGAAGAACTTCCTGACTGTGAGAGCCGTTCAGCAGTGGAACTCTCTGCCCCAGAGTGTGGTGGAGGCTCCTTCTTTGGAAGCTTTTAAACAGAGGCTGGATGGCCATCTGTCGGGGGTGATTTGAATGCAATATTCCTGCTTCTTGGCAGAATGGGGTTGGACTGGATGGCCCATGAGGTCTCTTTCCAACTCTTTGATTCTATGATTCTATGATTCTATGAAATGTAATGTTTGTTTGTGGGATTAACATAACTCAAAAACCGCTGCCAAATTTGGCCACACGACACCTACTACCCCAAGGAGTGACCATCACTAAAAAAAAAAATATGATTTTGTCATTTGGGAGTTGTAGTAGCTTGGGGAAATTATGCTGGGGAAAGTGGAAGGCAAAAGGAAGAGGGGCCGACCAAGGGCAAGATGGATGGATGGCATCCTTGAAGTGACTGGACTGACCTTGAGGGAGCTGGGGGTGGTAACGGCCAACAGGGAGCTCTGGCGTGGGCTGGTCCATGAGGTCACGAAGAGTCGGAGACGACTGAACGAATGAACAACAACAGTAGCTTGGATTTATAGTAAACCTATAATCAAAAAGCATTCTGAGCTCCACCAATGATGGAATTGAATCAAACTTGGCACACAGGACTCCCATGACCAACAGAAAACAGTAGAAGGGTTTGGTGGGCATTGACCTTGAGTTTGGAAGAAAAGAACAAAGTATTTACGGGCATATGATATGCAAGAAAATTGGGCAAAAATATTCTTCAGATGGTATATGACACCCTATAAATTAAACAAATGCTACAAGAATTTGAACCCCAAATGTTGGAAATGTGGAAAGGCAGAAGGCACACTCTGCCACATGTGGTGGCAATGCAAAAAAGCAAGAAACTATTGGAAGGAAATTCATAGCAGCCTACAAAAAATCTTAAAAATTAAAATCCCTCTAAAACCTGAGTTATTTTTATTGGGTACTAGCTTGGGGACCCGGCGTTGCCCGGGTTATTAGAGAAAGTGGGTAATGGCGGTTCTGTATGCCAAGTTTGGTGTTTATTGGTCTTTGGATAACGGCTGCATTATTTTCAGGAAGTGAGTGAAGGTATTTGAAGTCCCATCATCCATGGGCCATCCTCCTACAAACAGCAGCAGGATATGGAGTGGGTCATAGGGGCTCTGTGTGCCAAGTTTGGTCTTTATCATTAGATGAGGGTGGCAGTGGTGTCAGTAAGTGAGTGAAGGTACTGCAAGTCCCATCATCCAAAGTCCATCCTCTTTCAAACAGCAGCAGAATGTAAAGTGGATCATGGGGGCTCTATGTGCCAAGTTTGGTCTTGATTGGTCATTAGAAGAGGGTTGCAGCAATCTTTGGAAGGGAGTGGAGGTACTTGAAGTCCCATCATCCATGGTCTGTCCTCCTCCAAACTGCACCAGGATGTAGAGGGGGTCATTGGAGCTCCATGTGCCAAGTTTAGTCTAGATTAGTCATTGGCGAGGGTCTCAGTGGTCTCAGGAAGTGAGCAAAGGTACTGCAAGTCCCATCGTCCATCTCCAATTTTTTTCCAAACAACACCAGGACGTAACGTGGGTCATGAGAGGTCTATGTGCCAAGTTTGGTCTTGATCCATCATTGGATGAAGTTTGCAGAGGTCTCAGAAAGTGAGTGAAGGTACTGGAAGTTCCATCATCCATGGTCCACCCTTCTCCAAAACTGCAGTAGGATGTAGAGTGGGTCATGGGGGCTCTGTGTGCCAAGTTTGGTCTTGATTGGTCATTAGATGAGTTTTGCAGCAGTCTTGGGGAGTGGAGGTACTTGAAGTCCCATCATCCATGGTCTGTCCTCCTCCAAACTGCACCAGGATGTAGAGTGGGTCATTGGAGCTCCATGTGCCAAGTTTAGTCTTGATTAGTCATTGGCGAGGGTCTCAGTGGTCTCAGGAAGTGAGTGAAGTGACTGCAAGTCCCATCATCCATTGTCAAATTCTTCCAAACCGCACCAGGATGTAGAGTGGGTCATGCTGGGTCTCTGTGTAAATTGTGGTCCTGATCCATCATTGTTGGCAGTTGTAATGGTCTTAGGAAGGGAGTGCAGGTATTGCAAGTCCCATCGTCCATGGTGCATCCTCCTTCAAACTGCACCTGGATGTAGAGTGCGTCATGGAGACTCAGTGTGCCAAGTTTGGTCTTTATCGATAATTGGATGAGCGTTGCAGTGGTCTCAGGAATTGGGGAAAAATACTGCAAGTCCCATAATCCATGGTCTATCCCCAGCCAAACACACACCAGGACGTAAAGAGGGTCATGAGAGGTCTCTGTGCGAAGTTTGGTCCTGATCAGACACTGGATGAGGTTAACAGCGGTCTCAGAATGTGAGTGGTGGTACTGCACGTCCCATCATCCATGGTTCATACTCCTCCAAACTGCAGTAGGATGTGGAGTGGGTGATGGGGGCTCTGTGTGCCTATTTCGGTCTGTATTGGGAGTGTTCTGACCCAAGCCCCGGCCTTTCCTTTCCTCTCTTTCTCATCTCGGAATGTTGGATTTGAGGCTGGCCAATCAGAGACCATATGCAAATTTCCTTCTGTCATGCCCCGTTTCTGCCATGAACCCTCTTCTCCACCAGGGGCTCCTATTGAAGCTGGCCAATCAGAGACCATATGCAAATAGCACCACAGCGGCAGCCAATCAGAACGCTGCCACATACACCGCCCTCCCTCCGCCCTTCCTCTGTCCGATACAAACACTCTTCTTTATTTATATACTAGCTTGGGGACCCGGCGTTGCCCGGGTTATTAGAGAAAGTGGGTAATGGCGGTTCTGTATGCCAAGTTTGGTCTTTATTGGTCTTTGGATAACGGCTGCATTATTTTCAGGAAGTGAGTGAAGGTACTTGAAGTCCCATCATCCATGGGCCATCCTCCTACAAACAGCAGCAGGATATAGAGTGGGTCATGGGGGCTCTGTGTGCCAAGTTTGGTCTTTATCAGTCATTAGATGAGGGTGGCAGTGGTGTCAGTAAGTGAGTGAAGGTATTGCAAGTCCCATCATCTAAAGTCCATCCTCTTTCAAACTGCAGCAGGATGTAGAGTGGATCATGGGGGCTCTGTGTGCCAAATGTGGTCTTGATTGGTCATTAGAAGAGGGTTGCAGCAATCTTTGGAGGAGTGGAGGTACTTGAAGTCCCATCATCCATGGTCTGTCCTCCTCCAAACTGCACCAGGATGTAGAGTGGGTCATTGAAGCTCCATGTGCCAAGTTTAGTCTTGATGAGTCATTGGCGTGGGTCTCAGTGGTCTCAGGAAGTGAGTGAAGTGACTGCAAGTCCCATCATCCATTGTCAAATTCTTCCAAACCGCACCAGGATGTAGAGTGAGTTATGCGGACTCTCTGTGTAAATTGTGGTCCTGATCCATCATTGTTGGCAGTTATAATGGTCTTAGGAAGGGAGTGCAGGTATTGCAAGTCCCATCGTCCATGGTGCATCCTCCTTCAAACTGCACCTGGATGTAGAGTGCGTCATGGAGACTCAGTGTGCCAAGTTTGGTATTTTTTGGTAATTGGATGAGGGTTGCAGTGGTCTGAAGAATGAGCAATGGTACTGCAAGTCCCATAATCCACGGTCCATCCCCGGCCAAACCACACCAGGACGTAAAGTGGGTCATGAGAGGTCTCTGTGCGAAGTTTGGTCCTGATCAGTCATTGGATAAGGTTGAGAGCGGTCTCAGAATGTGAGTGGTGGTACTGCAAGTCCCATCATCCATGGTTCATAGTCCTCCAAACTGCAGTAGGATGTAGAGTGGGTGATGGGGGCTCTGTGTGCCAAGTCTGTTCTGTATTGGGAGTGTTCTGACCCAGCTCCCGGCCTTTCCTTTCCTCTCTTTCTCATCTCGGAATGTTGGATTTGAGCCTGGCCAATCAGAGACCATATGCAAATTTCCTTCTGTCATGCCCCGTTTCTGCCATGAACCCTCTTCTCCACCAGGGGCTCCTATTGAAGCTGGCCAATCAGAGACCATATGCAAATAGCACCACAGCGGCAGCCAATCAGAACGCTGCCACATACACAGCCCTCCCTCCACAATTCCTCTGTCCGATACAAACACTCTTCTTTATTATATACTAGCTTGGGGACCCGGCGTTGCCCGGGTTATTAGAGAAAGTGGGTAATGGCGGTTCTGTATGCCAAGTTTGGT